GTGCGTCTTGTTTATGCAGATCTGAAAGTGTAGCCAGCCAGACAGGTGGCATTACTGCGTAGACTGTCGCAGATGCGCGGCCCTCATTAATAACACACGGCCACGGAGAGATTACAGGACTGAGCATGATCATGAACCTGAGATTACAAGACTGAGCATGATCATGAACCTGAGATTACAGGACTGAGCATGATCATGAACCTGAGATTACAGGACTGAGCGTGATCATGAACCTGAGATTACAGGACTGAGCATGATCATGAACCTGAGATTACAGGACTGAGCATGATGATTTAATTTTAGGACCTGAACCGATGCTTAACTGGTCCCAGTGTATTTGAAGAGTCTGAATGACTGATTTGCTGTCTTTGTAGCCATAAGCTAATAATAATATGAAATTTCTTTTAGGATCAATTAGGATCAATCAATCAATCAATCAATCAATCTATCTATCTATCTATCTATCTATCTATCTATCTATCTATCTATCTAATCATCAGGGATGTTACTGGGGGATATCAACAGTTGACAGAGAGATGTAATGTGTCATTGGTGTTGATATGCTCTCAGCAGTATGTCAGAAACAGAAATGGGATTAAAGGCATCATATGGCTCGAAATCACCATAAATATTTATAGAAATTCTACCTGCAAATGACAGTAATATTGTTGGGAAATGTGTTAGCAATCAGGGATGCGATTTGTGCTCTTGGGTTATATGGTGATTGAGGCGGAGCTGTCACTGCGCGGATCTGTCTCAGTAACACTGTGTTTTTCTTCCTAAAGCTACTCCTCAGTAAATAACGATGGCTGAAATGGGGGGGGGGTCCATCCTCGCACTGAAATTAAGTCATGTCCATGTACTATGCACTCTGACTCGCCGTAACACCCCCTACTCATGTATCAGTACCGCCCACAGGGGGGAGCGTGTGGCTCAGCAGGCTAAGCTAACCTCAGGCTAAGCTAACCTCAGGCTAAGTTAACCTCAGGCTAAGATAACCTCAGAATAGTCACATGTCCATGGGCCCTTGAGCAAGCTCATCATCCCCCCCCCCGCTCCATGCTGCTAAGCTTGCTCTCACCTACATATGTTTCAGTGTTTCATGGAGAGTAAGATGGGGTACGCAAAAAGAGAGCTTCCCCACACGGATTATTTATTATCTCAGTATTTCTGAAATGACCAATTACAGTTTCAAGTGAGTAATACAGTGGTGTCTGCCAACCACGAATGCTGTGGTCTAGCAAAAAATTTGGTTCGCGACCAAAAATTTCGTGAAAAGGATGCTGGTTAGCGTACAAAATTTGGTCACCGAACAGATTCCTTGACCAGATTCCTTTTTTATACTAGTGTAACATCAGCAGGGCGCATGTCCCAGCATGCCCCAGCATGTCCCAGCATGTCCCAGCATGCCCCAGCATGTCCCAGCATGTCCCAGCATGTCCCAGCATGCCCCAGCATGTCCCAGCATGTCCCAGCATGTCCCAGCATGCCCCGCGTGCAATTGTAAATAGAAGGACCACAACAGGCACCCAACGAGCACCGAACCCAAATACACAGATGGGAAACACAAGGTTGTCAGATGCCGAACTGCAAGATGCACACACGGTGAGAGATTTACACACGCTAAATACACGCGAGGATCAGACCGGGTACACACAAGACACAGGCAAACACACACGCGACAATAGGCAACCATTAACATTAACGTTAACAACAACAATACAAGGGTTAAGGACTGTTAATAAAGAGCATGATTTCCTGGGCAAGCAAGTCTCCATGTCTCTCTCTCCGCGATGCCTCGGTCCGCCCGTCGCCACACTATATTGTGTTTTTCTTAAAAGTTTTTATTATGAAAACCAGAAAATTAATTAACACAAATGATTACTTGGTAGGCTTGTGAATGAATTAATCAATCTTCAGTGCTTTCTTATGGGAAAAACTGCCTTGCTTCACGTACAAATTGGTTCACGATCACTTTCCTGGAACGGATTGTGTTCGTGAACCGCAGGCACCACTGTAGTACTTATAGGTTACTGCTGGTTAATGTATTATTGTGTTGTGTCCTGCAGGGGGCGATGTGTCCCTCAGTGGTTTAGGACACGGAGTCCATGATAGGAAGGTCCCCATTTCAGATCTCGTTGCTGGCAGAGTTATGTCACTGTTATGTCACCTTGACTAGGGCCCTTAACCTCAGTTACTCCTCAGTTTTGTAAAAGTATCTGCTATACAAATAAAACAAAAACCCACAGAATAGTGCATATATTTGATAACTGTCACATGTGTATGAAATCCTGTCCAGAATAATCCCGTGTTGCTTATTTCAAAGCAGAAATGAGCAGGGTGCAGACGAGAACCGTCTCCTGCCAGCGATAACTCTGAAATGTCATAGGATAACCTGAGATCCACTCGGAACCTTACAGAATCACTGCTTTGTTCCACTTTATGGAATTTTAATTTGCTCAGAATTTTTCGCAAATAACTTGATATTGTATTACATGTAATAGGTTTCAGACATTATAGTGGGTGGGTGGTCTTTAGTACTGGCCCGTTTAGAGGAAATACACTGGTACTGGACGGAGGGCAGGTCCAGAACGTTCCCTGTGCTTTTCCAATAAATCCTGACAGTCCGCACACACATGGATTCAGACGTAGGCGAGAATCATTCCTGATCCCGAGTGGAAGCTGATGAGAAAGTCAGAGTTAACCTGCAATTCCGGACCCTTCCAAACCCCTCAAGAGTCCAAACTTTACTGCTGTCCAAAAAAACAGGAGAGAGTTCCGACATTGTTTGGCAGGAGGCGATAAACTTTAATAGATACATCGATTTCCCTTTCACGGACCCAAAATACTGTCTCCATAAATCAAATTTAATTTACAAAACACTGTCACGAGTATCCAGAGAAATACAAAAGTTAAGGCCTATTTAAATGTGTTTTATGTGAATATTATAAAGAGGGAAAGTGAAAATGTTCTTTTAACAGCACATCATTTTCACATTTTATTTATAAATAGCAGTTAAGGTTTATAGTGCTAAGATAATATAAAGAGAGTCCATTACTACAGAAGTCGTTATAACTCTGGCGCGTATACGGCTTACGTAGCTAAAAGCTGTTATTGGCGGTGAGGCAGCTTATTTCATATTAGCACTATGTGACCCTTTGTGGGGGGGGTAGATTTGGGTGTGGACAGTAGGGATGTGTTCCTGCCAATGTTGTGAGAGTACTGAGTGTGTTTAGGAGAGCAGGGGGTTCGGACCTGGTTTGGTACCTATCAATGCTAAACTCAAACCTGTGCACCTATATCTTATTTAGGCGACTCGCCATCTGTTTATATTAGTGTGTAAAGTCAGATGCCTGACCTGGTCTGGGAGAGACGCGGCTGCTCTGCTGCAGACACCAGCATGTACTGGTCATTTCTTCAGTTTAACTTTGGCGTCAAACTCGCCGTGGCGTTTGCTCCAGCAGTGGCGCTCTGCCAAGACGCAGGATTCAGAGTCACTCCAGCCCGCGTGGACGGGATAACCCGGAGGAAGGGGATCTCGATCAGCGGCTCCCTAAGTTGGGGTCTGGAGATGAATAAAATAATATGTGAACAAAATTTAAAAGCACTAAAATGCGTGGTGGGAGTTGCCAGAGACCCCCCCTCAATGTTATATTGATATTTGTATCAGGCTTGTATCAGGAATTTTTAATAGTTTTTGCTGAAGATCAAATCAGGTCTACATTTGAAGTGTAGCTATGAGCTGTACATGTATTCATGCCTTTTGATTACATAATTTCGGTAAAATAGTCTGATAATTGTAGCTTTGAGTTGGTCATAACTAGTGACGAAGAGCTGAAAGACCCTCCACCATTACGCATCACGTAAATTATTTTGGTTTCCCATTAAATTGCACCAACACTGGAGTCAGAGTATTCGATTAGACCAGGACTGTTACACTGAACTTTGAAACACATGCAGCATTCTAACTCATGTGAGACAACAACATCTGAGTGTGTTTGACCAGAGTGAGGCAGAAACAGCCTTTGCAAGTAATCAGAATCAAATTCAGAATCAGAAGACTTTATTAATCCCGGAGGAAATTGCTCAAATAATGCTCAAATAATTGCTCAAGTAATAATAATAATGATAATAATAGTAATAATAACTATAATAATAACTATTATTATTATTATTATTTTGATGATGATGCAGTGAGACTCGTCAATAGACAAAGCACCTAGTGGGCTCACTGTTATTTTGGGAGTTGTGGGCTGACAAATCCACAGCCCCAAAGCCTAGATGGGGGCCACATGGCCAGCAGGCGATGCTCGTGTCACCTTTAAAAGCATTTTCAGAGGGATACTACATATTTGGATATTTAAGTCAATACACCTGGCGTAGCGCTTTTTAAGTGCACAAAGTACTTTCAAATAATTTGTGATCCAGTAAAAAGTTGGCCATTGGCTGCGACTTTATGAGGATTTTCAAAGGGTGAGAATGCACATTTTTGGACATTTTCTTCAGGGAAATGAGGAAATCATTACAGATGGTGGTGTGCAAGTGGCTGTTTAGGTACAACAGCTGGCCCACAATTACAGGCAGAGCAAAAACCTGCCGTAATGATGAGAGAAAAGGCTGCAAACGGTCTCTTCAGGCGTGAAAGGGACACATGGTGGCCAATCGGCACGTTTAAAGCCTTGAACATGACCTGGGCCTGCTTCGGGGTTTGGGGCCCAGAGCCAACACAAGCGTGGGCTTGGGTTTCGTGCAGGTGCTGGGGACGGGACAGGATGTGCGTACGCCGTAAGGTCAAGTGCCTTCTGCGGGTGCCACCTACCTCAGACTTGTCAGATTTCACAGACAGAAAACCCGGGGTTCTTACGGGGATTTCCGGGGCAAATGACCTGCAGGGATTTCCTCAGTGAGGGACCCTGACACTTAACGCTAACGTCAGTGTCCTCTCGGCGTGATGGAGATGTAGGAGAGCCCCCACCAGCAAGAACTTAGGTGACCCAAAATGAATGAAGACATTTTAATTCGGTAAAATGTTACTCAGGCTTGTGGTAAATTTTATGCAATATACCTGCTATTTGGAACTGCAGTAAACTGTAGCAGTACATGAAATGCTGGATTTGTATTTTCACCGTAATAGAATATAGCATAAATATTCTTCTAACACCATGTCACAGTAACAGCCAAACAGTCTGATATATGATATCTGCTACGTCTTTCACATACATCTTGTGTTTATCTGCAGGGTGCACCAGCTTAGACAAAGTAAATACACATTGTTCATTTCTGTTAGCTGTAAACCTCAGAAATTCCACTTTACAGAAATCTCAGATTGATCTCATTACAAAAATGACATTTTTTTTGCTGCTTTCTTTATTAAAGGCATTTCTCTGTAAATGTAGAGGCTATTTTTAGCAAACCCACAGGACGTGATAGAGGATATTGCTTGGAAATGAATAACAGAGAAGAATTCAAAACAAACAAGTGGATTTCTGCCTTTGTCCTCTTCTGTGCAGTGCCATTACAGTCCATTACAGTCACCATCCGGGTTCCTTTTACTGTTAGAGTTAATCCAAAACACATCGCGCTTCCTTTTGTTGTGTCTTTGTTTTCATTGTGTTTTTCAAGGAGATTTTTGTTCTGTGTGGAAGTGTCCCATGTTTGACCCAAGTGTCCTATGACCACCATTAAACTTTGTCCGACAGACAGCAAGTCAGAAGGTGTTCTTTGTTCCCAGGGCTATGCCAGACACCCAGCACCGTGGTTCTGAAAGTTGAATGTTCAAAAGTTTACTCATCTCAGCTGTAATGAATTTCTGAAGCAACTGTGACTCCTTTGAGATATGCATGCTTTTGTTTACAGTGATGATCTCTGCGAGTTTCGGATGTTAATTACACCAGGTCAGGTGTTCTCCTCATGAGGACACTATCTATCAGAGTTAAAACACCATAGCAGTAGCAGCAATGGTGTATCAATTCCAGGAGGAGCATCAGTCCTACAAGAACCAAGTTGGAGCTCCAGATGCCAAGGTCTGGTTATGGAGGTGGAGCTCCTGAAGCCAAGGCCTGGTTATGGAGGTGGATCTCCAGATTCAAAAGCCTGGTTATGGAGGTGGATCTCCAGATTCCAAGGCCTGGTTATGGAGGTGGGTCTCCAGAAGCCAAGGTCTGGTTATGGTAGTGGAGCTCCCGAAGCCAAGGCTTGGTTATGGAGCTCCAAATTTCAAGGTCTACTTATGGAGGTGGATCTCCAGAAGCCAAGGCCTGGTTATGGAGGTGGATCTCCAGATTCCAAGGTCTGGTTATGGAGGTGGATCTCCAGATTCAAAAGCCTGGTTATGGAGGTGGATCTCCAGATTCCAAGGCCTGGTTATGGAGTGGATCTCTAGATTCCAAGGCCTGGTTATGGAGGTGGGTCTCCAGAAGCCAAGGTCTGGTTACAGAGGAGAGGCTCCAGATTCCAAGGTCTGGTTATTTAGGTGGGGCTCCAGATATCAAGGTCTAGTTATGGAGGTGGATCTCCAGATGCCAAGGTCTGGTTATCGAGGTGGATCTCCAGATTCCAAAGTCTGGTTATGGAGGTGGGGCTCCAGATTTCAAGGTCTGGTTATAGAGATGGGGCTCCAGATTTCAAGGTCTAGTTATGGAGGTGGAGCTCCAGATTCCAAGATCTGGTTATGGAGGTAGAGCTCCAGATTCCAAGGCAGCCAAGGTACATCAATGCATCCCAGGTCTTCTGATTAAGAATCTTAATGACATAATTGTCCTCCCGCTATTGCCTGAGATCGCTTTGGATAGCTAAGCTCATTGGTCAGAGAAATGGAAGCAATGATATCACAGGAAATGCCCCAGGGTGTCGAACGTTGCTCCGGAGATCTCCTAGTAGAGGTCTCTGCCTAAACAATGTAGCTGGTCAGGTCGAGCAGGTAGGAGGTGACGTCCATGATTCGATCCACGATGCCGTCCCTGGCCTTAATCTCCACGCCATGCTCGTCCTTTTCGCAGTGAGCCCCTGAGAAGCTGCTTTTGCAGAGGCACTTGTTGGGCTCCACACAGATGCCCCCGTTTCGGCATGCGGGCTCGCATTTTGCTGGGGGGGGGGGGGGGGGGGGTTGGCCACCGAGGGGAACAGAAGAATGCAGGTAAAACACAACATCACAAAAATTGCTAAAATTGCCAAAATCATAATGCATTCATAAAGCATTATAAACATGGTTACAAGTAAATTAATGGAAAGGCATAACACATTATAGCCATGTTTATTATGCATTATGGCTGCCTTATGAAGCTCTCACCCGCTGCTCAAACGCCAGCCGCCTGCCAGCCTCCCATCACTCACCCGCCTTGCAGAGGGGCCCCTCCCAGCCTGCCAGGCAGCAGCAGCGCCCGGTGGGGGTGCACACCCCGTTGCGGCACTGCCGGGAGCAGGCGGCCGCCAGCAGCTCGGGGGCCTCCACTGGCCGCTGGCACTCCCTGGGGCCCGCCGGCCTGGGGGGGACATTCCCCGTCAGAGACACGTCCTGCTCGACGCGCCATGCGGTATTTCACAGGGACCATCATTCACCATCACTCAAACCATGTTGGTCACAGTCACTACACGTGCGGTTTCCTCCTGAAATTCAGTGTTATTTAACAAATAACGCTTAACTGAATTTTTAATGCTTTCCAATTCCATACCGCAGATGTTTCGCATGTTTAGCGAACATTTTAGCAACATATGCTGAGTAACTTTCCCATTAATGTTTCACACAGTCGCTGTTTTTCACACCTGAATATTTCGTGAGAACTGTGCTGGCTGAAAGAACGCGAGCAGCAGAGCCACGCGGAAATGGCTTCACGAGGAAGCCAGACTCTCTTTTCCAGCGGCCAGGCCAGGACGGTTAAAGTTGCACCATAACTCATTCTCATTTAAAATGTGTCTATTTTGTTTAAGATGCTTCGGGATACATAGTTACCACGGTAAACTGACTACGCCAGAAGTAAACTCCGCGACAGGCTTCACCTCCCCCCTGCCCCCGAGATTACGTTTCAGTGCGATGAATGGAGGAACATCTGTCCGTAAAGGCATCCGTCTCCCCCGGGACGCGACCCGCGTGCAGAGGGCCAGAGGAGCCATCATCACCGTGGTTACCAGAGACAGGGTAGCCACACGCTGAACACTCCACCCCCCCCCCCGCCCTCCTCACGTACATGGAATGTTCTGGAACACGGTGGCCCGCTTATTTGCGCCCCATCAGGCGACTGTCAGGCAAGAAGTGTGTAAATAGTCACCTCAGGAGGAAAGTGGCAATTTCAGGCAGCTTACTCTGCCTCATATGCGCCTGGCATGGCGTCCTAATGAAGAATCAATGTGGTGCAGACGCCCCCCTCCCCTGCACTGCCCCCCTTCCTGCCAGGACGCGGCACAGAGCCGCCAGGTAGCAGACGCCGGACCACCCTCCTCGCCGGAGCCCTGGGACCACTAAGCCGGGCCAGCTGCCCGTAACGAGATGCTCATAACGGGCTTGGGCGTGTCAAAAGGGCTGCCGCCTCGAGCCGGAGCGGAGCTTCCCGGGGAAACGCCAGGAGAATGTCAGAGAGCACAGGAGAAGCACGGCCTCTGATCCCGAGTGCGTACAGGGGCGGGGCCACAGGGGTGCTGGGGCCAGCTGAAAGCTGATTGGCCCTCAAAGTGCACCCTCCCCTTCACTCATCGATTCGAAACATATCATTGGCTAATGACTAGGTTGGTCACTTTGTATGATTTATGGCCCCTCTTATGCTCCCCCCACCCGCCGGTGCTGCAATCTGCCGAAGAGCTCTGCTCCAAGCCCATCAGCTTCCAAGCTCTGATTCATCTCACCTGCTTCTGGCCATGAAACGCTGTTCGCTAATCCCGGGGGCTGAGCGGTTTAAACACGTAATTTATAGGCTGACTGCGATGAAGGATGCGCCGCAGGGTTGTGTGAGGTCGCCTCGCACGTATGCCGCTGCATTTAAAGATGGCAGGGATCTGTTTTGATTTAATTCCATATTTTGAGCAGCCGCACTTATGCTTTCTGCCATATAACCGTCAGTTACTCTTGTACGCGGTGACAGGTATCGCGAATCATCTTTGCATTTTCCTGAAGCCTAAACCATATGATGCAGGAATCTAACAAACCCTAAACTCTGCATGCTTAGGGGAGACTCTTCTGGGACGAACATCTCACATGGCTTTGCTTGCCTATTCCCATCCATCCATCCATCCATCCATCCACCAGTCGTCTATTCAATGACCTCATAATAAATGACTACATGTCCACTGAGGGTACAGAACACGTTACAAATGACGGTAAATATGATTCATTCTGTGTTCATTATATTTATCTACTTACATAAGAACATCAGAAATTAACAAACGAGGCCAATCGGCCCATCAAGCTCGTTTGGGGAGAACTTTAATAGCTCAGACTTGCTAGAATCTTATCTAGCTCTGATTTGCGCTACACTAGCAGGAAGACTATTCCATACTCTAACTACATGCTGTGTAAAGAAGTGCTTCCTCAAATTCGTTTTAAAATGTTCTCCCGCTAATTTCCACTTACAGCCACGAGTTCTAGTATTTAAACTAATATTGAAATAGCCATTTGGCTGAACAGCATCCAGACCTGTTAGAATTATCTTATATACCTGGATCATGTCCCCCCTTAGTCTCCTTTGCTCAAGGCTAAACAGATTCAGCTCAGCTAACCTCTCCTCATAAGTCATTCCTCTAAGACCAGCAATCATTCTTGTAGCCCTATTTTGCACCCTTTCCAAGGTATGGCTTTTTCTCAAACATTCTGTGTCCAGATACCAATATCTGCTCAAGCTCAGCGTAAATATATATAAAATAAAGTCTTGATATAATTCTGATTGGTTAGACCTTGAGCGAATGGGCAGAAATGGCCGTTGTGTGGCTGAAATGGTCTTTTTAGCGTAGTGCCTGGTCTGTGTTACACAGCTCATGTCTGCTCGTACCTCTGGCAGTCTGAGCCAAACCCTTTTTTAAAATCACAAAGTGAGTATTCAGACCAGCTGAGATTATGATACCCATCTGTATGTGGAAAGAGCAGGTTTGACAACATCTGGCTGATGGTCAGACCTGCTGAAAGGATATAGATCCCTTCACTTGACCCGAGCCCTGGACTTTACTCTGGCGTATTTTAACTTGACGCTTTTTAAGCTCCGTTATTTCAGTGACTGGATCCCAGCAGCCACAGATGTCCTAAGCAGCAGCAGGAATGAGCAAAGCGTTGTGTTTAATCTCTGAGGAGCACACGGCCCTGAAAGCGGACGGCGACTTTTAACAGTGCAGGACACTCACTCTGGCCACACGCCGCCCCACCACAGCATCAGCATAAGCAGTGCCATCCAGAAACATGTTGAGCTCACACTCAGTTTTTTTAACTGCGATTTGTTTTGGCCGGGGCAGAAGCCATGCAATGATTCGCTTAACTGACAGGCCAGCCATGATGTTCCAGGAGAGGCGGGGCGTTTGGCTAGCCGGGGGGGGGGGGGGCATGCGGATCTGAGCCATCTTCGAACCCCCCCTGAAAACAATCTCCAGTCGAGACGCTACTTGTGGCCTTGTGACTGACCTCAAACATGAAGGTGAGGAACCAATGCTGAAGGGCCACAGAGAAGATGGTCCCAAAAAGCTCCAACCACCTGCGGCTGGACCCTCAGAAGCGCGGTGTGACGGCCACGCGGTTCACACAGCATCGTGCCCTGAAGATCACGTACCTCTTTGGGTCCATCACTTTGTAGAGCTTGCCGCTCTGGGAGTGAGCCACAGTCTTGCTGGTGGTTAAGATGTACACCTCACCTACAGGGAGGAGATGGAGAGAGAGCAGGATCTGAGGTGAGCGTCTAGAAAGGAGAGCGCCTGTGACGTGCAGACCCCTCTCTGGATCGATCTTCTTCAGTAAATCAGCTAAAGCCTTTAAGAAACAGTTTCTGTGATGGACCCTGGAATGGCTGTAACAGAGACAGCTGGTGGGTGCTGTGGTTTCTGACTGGAGATTTTGGTTTCTTTCACTGGAATCACCAAAGCAATCCACAGAATCAGTACTGTGCAGAACACAGTACGATAAAATCATTTCCTATCGTATAATGTCGGAAACACCACGAAGTACAGCGGTCTGAACCACAGACAGTGACCGTTTTAGGCATTAAAATGATTTCAGAGATATTCCCTGCCGTCCCTCATTTCCTAACAAACTCGATCTTTGTTTTTTGGACAACAGGGAAAAAAATGTGGAAAACACCCAAATCTTTATGGATTTTCAGTGAATATGGGCCTCACTGTGAGGGTTGCTCATTCCAGGGGGATTCCGAGTGGTCTGCGGAAAAAATCGGAACAGATTTTTTTCACCAGTTAAATAGTAAAAATCCACGGGGTGCCTGTTAATTTCTGCCGGATCTGCGAAGCATTTTTGGAAATTTGGATTGTTTGCAAAACAGCTTCTAGCGAGCTGTACGCCGCTTGATCGTTATTCCAGTTAATTTCCACTGCTTGATGAGTATTTATTAATATGTGCTATTTATACATGTGTTTTCCTCAAACACAGATTACAGCAGCGTTGGCGATACCGTATATGCTTTATTAAACATAAAATTAAAATTAAAATTATCCAGTGTGGATGATTGAGGGATTCAGTCATTAATTGAAACATGTAGGAGACATAAATGAGACTGATGGATTTCTCATAGAACTCCAACTGAAGTATATGATCTGTAAATATGATCTTCACACCGGTTATCTAATTGGGTGACTTTAACCAGGGCGGCCAACTTTGGTCAGCTGGCTGGAGTGAGATTCGAGACAGTCTGCACACGCATTTACATGTATGTAACAGTTTTATTACCTTGTAAACAGTCTGTAGGTTTTGCGAACTACCCCAACACTTTTAATGTAGCTAATTTTAGGTTTATAATGGAATAATATAGAATTACCGTAAGATTTATTGCGTGACCGTGACTGTCTGAAAAGGTGAGTGTCACGCCAAATGGCAGCCCTGCAAATAACGCTAAAGACCATCTAAAGCTTAAGACCCCCAGCCTGCTCACACACAGCCGAAGCACAAGGAATCACTTTGCTCCACACCTAGCTCATCTTCTCCGAAGCCCAGGACCTGCCCCACCAGGGACCTGCCGCAGGGGTGCCCCCCGCCCAGGCACAGGGGCTTCTCCCGCCACATCCGACCGCTCCAGGCCTTCTGGAGGATCCGCAGGTTCCTGCCGGAGAAGCAGAACACGGCCCAGCCAGGCATCACTAGCCGATCATGGCCCACGCACACACGGCGGCCGTTAATGGGGAGAAGCACACATTGTAATTGCAGATGCTGCATACCGTATGCGACAGGCAGGGGGCACTCTGAGCAGTATACGATAGATAAAGTAGGGTCAGAGTCCCTGGAGCAGTCAGGGGTTAAAGAGCCAGTTCACCCCAAAAAAGAAAAATCACTGCTCTATCTTCTCCGCAGCGATACGATTGGTGTGTGGAGTTCAGCAGAAGAAAGTAGTTCCTACATTAAATTGCTCACTACAAAGTCTGTGGATTATCTATGATAACTGGGTCATGATTCCTGGTACGAAACACTGCTGTTGAATTTTTTAATTTTTTTTGCTGTTTTAATTGTCACAGAAAGAAAGCCATTCACTCCCATTATATTTAACAGAAGTCCACATCACATAGATAGATAGCACTAAGGCACCTCTAAAACACATCTTTTTCAGGTTTGGGGTAAACTGCTCCTTTAAGGGTCCGATGTGGAGTTCACTCTTCTCTCCCTGGCATTTAAACCAGCAACCTTCCGATCGCCAGAACAGTGTTTTAGCCCACTGGGGATATGTTCATCAGGACGCAGTGGAGGGCATGTATGATTCCGTGTTTGGCTGAACCTCGTGGGAGGCAGGATTCTCAGGAATCTCTCGACGTGATGCAGATACACAGCTGCTGCCTTGCAAGTTGGTTTGGCGTTACCCCCCCATGGAAAAATACTTAAGGGGTCCTTCTGTCAACAGCCTCATTAAAGTGATTATTGTTTACAGAGGGAGTGCTGGGCGACACGCACATCTGTGGCTGGACCGGGCCGCCCCGCACAGTCTGGGCTGGGGAACACGAGTGCGGAGTCGAGAAACGCGCCTCCAGTACACAGTGGCCCACGGGCACAGCCCCTGCATGGGGCGTTCACACACGAGCCTTGGCTGAGGGTCCGACCCACTGCCGTCATCTGTGGCTGGACCCAGAGCTGACTAACAAGTTAAGAAGTATTAAGCTATGGGTTAACCACAGTGGTGTAGTGGTAATAAGAAACAGGTGGGTATATAACTGTGCATAACTATAACATACCCTTAGGTGTCGTTAAAAACGGTGGATAAACTACCTAGCATCTATGCAGGACTGCGACTGAAACCAAATCATCATCATCATTGTCGCCATCATCATCATTACCATCGTCATCATCAATATCATCATCGTCGTTATCATCATCATCATCATCATCATTATCATCATCGTTGTCATCATCATCATTACCATCATCATCATTATCATCATCATTACCATTGTCATTATCATTATCATCATCGTCATCATCATCGTCATCATCATCGTTGTCATCATCATCATCATCATTATCATCATCGTTGTCATCATCATCATCATCATTATCATCATCGTTGTCATCATCATCATTACCATCGTCATCATCATCATCGTCATTATCATCATCATCATTACCATCGTCATCATCATTATCATCATCGTCATCATCATTATCATCATCGTTGACATCATCATCATTACCATCGTCATCATCATCATCATTATCATCATCATCATCGTCATCATCACCATCGTCGTCATCACATTATCATTATTATTACTATTGTTATTATTATTATTATTATGAAGTGGATACATGTCCAGCTAGCTCAAAGGAAAATACAGTTGCACTGATCCAGATAGGCTGTCTATTTACCGTTTATCTACTAGCCAGCTAACTTTACTGCAGTCAGCATCAGTCTCCGGCTAAAGAACTTGATGGCAACTGATGTTAGTTTATTAACTGAAAAATAAAGAACCACTCGGTCTGTTTACCATTTTCAACCTCCATCTGTGTTTTGGGGGTGGGGGTCGATTCTTGCAAAATGTTGCCTGATGCCCCCTGTTCCGCATGCATGCTGCAGGACCTGCAGTGATCTGCTCATTAGCACCGGCTGCGTTGCTGAGGAGTGAAGTGGGGGGGGCCGTGTGCCACTTTGTCAGCTGTTGTACGCTAGTAGTGAGTAGTGAACAACGGGCTATATTTTGGATTCTAACGTCTAAATTGCATACTGACAAGTCAGTAAACGTGCATAAAAAGGTAAGTAACGACTGTTCTGTAATTAATTAAGGGGCATAAATGGCATTTATGTGCTTTTACCCTCTAATACACCCCTGGTTCATCCATCTGATACAGGAATATCTCTACCAGTCTGATACCCGTCTCTGCCAGTCTGATACCTGTCTCTGCCAGTCTGATACCCGTCTCTTCCAGTCTGATACCCGTCTCTGCCAGTCTGATANAGTCTGATACCTGTCTCTGCCAGTCTGATACCCGTCTCTTCCAGTCTGATACCCGTCTCTGCCAGTCTGATACCTGTCTCTGCCAGTCTGATACCTATCTCTGCCAGTCTGATACCCGTCTCTTCCAGTCTGATACCCGTCTCTGCCAGTCTGACACGCGTCTCTGCCAGTCTGGTACCCGTCTCTTTTAGTCTGATACCCGTCTCTTCCAGTCTGATACCCGTCTCTTCCAGTCTGGTACCCGTCTCTGCCAGTCTGATACCCGTCTCTTCCAGTCTGATACCCGTCCACAGTCCCTGAACGCTCTTAATGTTGCACTTTCTCCTGATTGCCCAGTTGTCTGATTAGGTTCTTGCTTTGCTGGTAGATGCTGTGTAGCTCCTGCTCTGATCCTGTTTACACCTCTACCTGGTCCTTCACTTACGCTTACGCCTAGTCGACTCCATGACAGCCATATGTTTGCGAAGTGCCATTTGCCTCATGAATAGGGGTACAGGATGCAGGGGCCAGGCGTGTACCCCTCAATATTTAATTAGGCTTCTTTCACCCTCCAAACATATAGACTTTTGTATTTAAAATTTTAGGCTGTGCTCCCCCAGTATCAAACTCGCTCCTACACCGGTGCTGACTTGCACGCGACTTTGGAAAAAAACAATTGATCACACGAATGTAAATGTTGCTGCTTTAATGTGGCTTGTTTAAAGTGGTCATTTCAGCATCTCACTTTTTTGACCTTTTAATGGGGTTTGGACGGCTCCTCTCATGTGATGTTCCCCACATCCGCAGCCTGAGGAGCAGAGGAGACCATGAAGCTGTCCCTGAAAACACCCCCCCACCCCCCCCTGGTGAGATGCTGGCTGAAACCAGAGTATTGAGGACCCCTGTGGGCAGGGGCGTTGCTAGAGATTTTGGGGCCCATATCATATTAGGCCCCCCAGTCCAAACCAATCCAGTTATTTTCCTAATTTTTTAGGGCCCCTGTCACTCAGAGGCCCTTGGAATCGTCCTAGCTTTCCTCCCCCTTACGGCGCCCCTGCCTGTGGGTTATTTGTAAACCACATGGATGAGATGCCTGGGCCTGTGACATCAGCGCATCACATGTCTCACCGCGTGTCGCCATTGGCCACCCTCGCCCGTAAATCCCTCCTCCCCGAAATGTCACTGTAGCATAACAGACTCACCCGCTGCGATCGCCAAAGACGTAACTGCCGTACAGTCGCCTTGACTGGCAGCCTCGGTAGATAAACCCACCGACAGGCGCCGCCCTGCTGGGGGGCAAATAGAACAGCGGAGGGACGTGCTCTGCAGACAAGATCAAAAATGCATTATGGAGTTGGAAACAATTAGATAAATCTGTCTGACATGATCTGAACACAGACACATGCAAGTCCGAAGGACAAAGGGCATAAACATGCTGTTTACCTTAATAATTCGCCAGTGACAGAAAGAATGGTATTTACAGGTGTGTAACTTTAAAATACCCAACCATCAAAACTGCAAAAACAGTATAATAAAAGTATTTGTTTTTAACAAACACGAGGCATCTTCCAGATCAAGGGGAAAAAAAATAATTTTTGGAATTATAGA